AGAACTAAAATATTAAATATAATAAATAAATAAGCAACTTGAAGGCCTGGAAAAGGGTAGAGAATACTGAATATAATAAACCAGTGTATAAAAAATCCAGTATTTCAGTATTAAAACTTCTTCATTTCCATACAGTAAGTTTATTGCTACTATAGATAAGCTTCATATTAAGGCACCTGTCATTACCTATAAGATTTGGATTCAAAATAAAAGGAATATGTGCTGTAAAACCTTTTTCTTTCATTCTGATGACATTACAGGTATTGTCAATTTTGATGTTAAGTTTTTATATGGCAGTAGCTAAGTGTCTTTGAACATATTACCTAAATATGGCTAAAATGTTTATGATTCTTTGATACTTCAATTAATGTGATGTCCTCCCTTAATTAAAGTCTGTGATACTTTAATGAGGAAATAGACAAAATCAAACCAAGGTGGATGCAAAGACTAAATATAAGAAAGATGGTAACCTCTAAAGAAAAAATAACTATACTATAGGGACAATGATATGAGCAGATCTTAGCTAAGTCACTTCACTTCTCTGAGACTGTGTCCCGTCGGTAAAATTTCAATACTACCCGCTCTGTCAAGTTTGTAAAAGGCATTGTGAGATCAAATGAGATGATATAAAAACATCTGGCAAACTATCAAGCACTGAACAAATAATAGTATTAGCATAAGCCAAAATATCTCAAATTTCAATATTTTCTCTAACAAAGTTATGGCCTGCTCCTTTTGCATCTACCTGAGAACCCTCAGTTTTAGTGAATTAGGTCACTGTGGAATGAATGGAAGAAAAAAGAGAGAGAGAGAAAAATCTCTAAATTTTAGCTTCTAGAATTTTATGAAGTAGTTTGCTGTGAGTGGGGAATCACACTGCTTTCTGGGGCTCACTCCACCTCCTAACAGAGACCTTGGCTCCTGGCCTTTCCTAGCCTCCTCTGCCGAGACCTTCATCTCCCTTGCCCTCTGCTATCAGGCAATGTGCAGAGTTCCATTAAAAGAACTCTATATTCTAATACCATAAAAGGGTGTCAAGAGTATTAAAGAAACACAGGCTGAGGTCAATCAGAGGTTCATTACTCAGCTTGGCACAAATTTGAAATGGCTCAAAAATTACTACCAGGTTCCCCTCTGCTTAGTCCACAAGTCCTTCCTCTATGTATAAAAAGTTCTAGGTCAGCTTTTTCCAAAGTACAGTCTGAGGATTACTAGTTAGGTAGATGTTAACAGGTAAAAAACAGATCTGTGTTAAGTTTGGAATATGCAGGGGGAAATAAGTTTACATATACAATATAATATCTCAGTCTGCAATGTACTGACTAGACATTCTAAAGAAGAATAGAGCATATAGCATTTTCCAAACTCATTTGATCACAGCATCCTGTTTTGTCCCCATGAAATATCTAGAGGGGTTAAAAGCTCTTAGAAAATTCTTTGAGAAATGCTATTCTAGCTAATTTACCCTGGCTTTAAACATTCCACTACATCTGGCAATAATTATCCTTTTAATTTCTGAAAGAGTGGAATCATTTTGCTGACAAGCTCAACTACCAGGATAACCTCCTGGATTCCACTCCATAAAGATCCTGACCAAAGCAACTAGGAAGTAAGTTTCCTTTACTACACACTGAGGAACTAAAAGAAGTTATTCTCAAGTTAATGAGAATTATAATCATTTTTAGGAAATCTTCGTATTTTTTCTCAAACATTAAAACTATAAAGATCTAATTCTAGATCTTAAGACCTAGAATCACAACTACTTTGAGAAGATGGGAGCATTTTATCACACTACCACTACAATGAAAACTATTAACATAATAAAAAGAAGTAATAGTGGTGGTGGTGGTGGTTATATTGGCTAAGCACTTATTTTGTGCCTTAACCCTCATATCCACTCTACGAATTTAGGATCTACTATTACATTCAGTTTAAAGATAAGTATTGAGGTTTAGAGAGATTAACTGACTTGCTGAGAGTCAATTAAGGACAGATTCTCAAACTCATATCTGACCCCTCATGTCCTGCTCTTAACCACTGTGTAATGCCTTCTTACATTCTAGTGACAAAGCAAAATCATTTAGGTCACTCTGGGTGTTAAACAGGAAAATTAGAGTGTATTTATATAAATCTAACTTGATTGAAATTTGGTTTGGGATTCCTTTCGAGCAAACTCCTATTCCCTAAAGGAGACACTTTTTAAGTTTTTTAGAAAAGAAAAATAAACTGCCATTTACCAATTCTTAGTTATAGGGAGAGTTTTAAAAATCTGCATCCAAGGTGAAGACATTATCTGTGGTTTCTGCCATAACTGCAAAACGCTGATACTCTGAAACCCGTTTCTCAAAGAAATTTGTTTTCCCTTCTAAAGAAATGTTTTCCATAAAATCAAAAGGATTTTCTGCCTGAAAAACCTGAAAAAGAAAAGAAATGTTATTAGACATTCTGAAGAAACCAAATTATATCCTACAAGGAGAGCGTAACCAAAACAGAAATGCAGTCCTCTCAGCACCTGTCTAGGATCAATTCTCTGAGGTCCTGGAGGCATTCAAGGCCAATAAATTTTAAGATGACTGAGATCACCTATTAACCTCATCAAGAAACTATACTAGCATCTCTGATACTCTAAGAAATAGAAAGAAGAAAAAAAGATTATTTCAGGAAATTAAGCATTCAACACCAATGAAATTAAAATGTTTTTGCAGCTAGAGAGATCAAATACACCATAGATATTAAAGGCATTTTTCACTGCTATTAGCATTAAGTAGTCACATATGCATGATACTACAAAATATAAAATTACCAGCAATGTATAATGGACCTAAATATGTTTCTTAGTTCATAAGAGAACAGACAATCAACACACTTATGTTAAGGCACCATGATGAGGGAAGACAAAATAAATGCTATCCACTGATGTCTCTAAACAAAAGCAGGACTTATGCTGACAAGAAGCTTTTTTGCTGTTTCTGAGTTCAAGAAGCAGACCTGAAGATACAGGTTCATGGAAACTATGAGACATTTCAATGACTCATGAGGAACAATAAAAGAGAGTTTTTAAATTTAGGAGTATTCCGGCAGGAATTATAAATAATTGCTATCATCAGGAGAACATGGATATAAGGGTGTGAGGATATGGTGGTAGGTTAAAGGATAGTGAATTCACTTCAACGTTTAAATAAGCAAATTCATTTCCCTATAAGAAACATATTGGTATAACTTAGGAACAAATATAATTTTTAATACACAGTTTATAAATTTAAAAGGTCATATTAATATAATTATAATTTTATTTCTCTCATTAATTATCAGTAAGCATAAAGAGAATCTTGCAACTAAAATTGCAACTATACAATATAGTTTATCTTGCAAAAAAACTTTGCCTCACCTGACTCATTCATTGAAGTATTTCTGTGGTTACCTGAATATAACTGCATTACCAAGAAAAGTATTGATTACCCCAGCATAATGAATTTCATAAGGCTTCTTATTAAATACAATTTAAACTTTCATTTCCATGCTAAGAAATCAAAACTGATCATTTCTAATTACCAGGGTACCATACACGGTATAAAGTTCTATGAATGGTTCACTTATGTTGAACATAACATGACCATTCATTGTGCATTTATTCCATGTCTGACACTACTTTAAGTGCTTTAAATAAACCAATTCATTAACAATCCTTTGGGATAAGCATTACTATTATTATTGTCATTTTATGGATGAGAAAACTGAGACAGGTTAGGCAACCTGCCTAACGTCACACAGCTAGGAAATGGAGGAATCAGAATTCAAACCCAGTTAATCTGGCTGCAGCTTGCATTTATTCAGTCATGTGAAAGCACACCTCTTTATGAAATTCAGGTACACTATCTCTGATAAACAAAACAACAGATGTAACTTAAAGGCAACTGAGTTCAAGGAGTCAAAACGTTATGAATTTAAGATACAAAAGATTTTTGCAAAACCAATTTTTTCATGGAAAACAAGGCTCTGTCATGGATATTTTATAAAGCACACTTGTATGTTACAAATGTTTTCAGTGAAATATAATATTTTAGTGGCCCTACGTGACTATATTTCAGGTAGTAGTAGTACGTGTTTAAACATGTATACCTTTGAGAATCCAAGTTCCGCAAGTAATCTGTCAGCAACAAACTCGATATACTGTTTCATCAAAACACAATTCATTCCAATGAGGCCAACTGGCAAGGCTTCTGTTAAAAACTCCTGAGGTAAGAACAGAGGCAGAATAAAGCACAAGACAGAACAATAAATATGTATTTTCCAAATAAAAAGAAGGTTTTAGTTTTATTAATCTCCTAAGGCATTGATCTTGTTCAAGGAAAGTACACTAGGATAAACTCTTTCAACATGACAATGTCCGTTTAACGATGTTTGTAGTACTACAAATCACATTCTTTCACATTCTCAAATAGCCAAAATAGATAGAGACTATCAAATTACTGGTATTTTAAAAAGTAGCACATGTATGACCTGCATTCATATGCTCTCTCAGTAGAAGAAAGAGGAGATACTTTGTTTTGAAAAATCTAGAAAAAGTTCACCAAAGCTGATCACTGTGAGGAATCAGGGAGTTGGGAAAGAGAGAAAACAAAATAAACAGAGAAAATGAGAAAGAAAGAAATGATCTGGGTGTTAGAAGTTAAACTGAATTCCCAACTACACTAAAAGACAGTGGTAAAGAGTTAATAGAAGAAAAATAAAAACATTAACCACTTGGATTTAGTTCTCACAGTGATTAAAGATACCAAACGCATTTTATGCCTTTTCCCCTCCTATAAAAACTATGTGTTAAACTATGCAGTATTTTTATAGAAGGTTTAAAAAATTATTTTACTATTAAACCCATTCTTTCAAATGAAGAAAACATGAAGACCACCTAGGTCTTTCTAGTTAGAGATTGTTACATGATATAAATTAAGTTTTGCTACTCATTAATTAATTCATTTATTCATTCTATAAACACTTTTTTTTCTCCTATCATGTCCTTTTATTACTTACAGAAAAAAAAAATGAAACCAAGACACTTATTTATGTTCTAGTAATGCTACTTCCATTTGCTCCCTTGCTAGATGGCTGAAAAAGAACATGCAACCTGTTGAAGATCTCCAGTGGGTAACCCAGAGGCTGTCAGTGTTTGGCCAATTGAGTCCGTTAGACTTTGCGGAAGGCAGAGTGTAGTGGTGTTCAGAGACACGACTTCAGCTTGCAATGCTGGGAATGCTTCTCAAAGCAGGGCCCAGGCACAATGCTTCAGTGTTCCTGGCAACAACGATTCATGTCGAAAGATGTAAGACCCCTATTATCAAAAACCCATGTGAATTCTTAAAGCTTTTTACATAATTTGTTTTCCATTAGTGCTCCAGTGAAATATAATCATCAGAAGAGATCTTTTAGCACGGAAGAAAGGCACAGTGAGGCTTATTTAGTTCAAGCACTAGAAATCAGAAAGAACTGCACATCCTTTCCTTTGACGTGCTGAGCTGCACTGTAATAGTCATCACAGTTTTGCTCTTCTGGATAAAAAGCTCACGACTGCATTCCTGCATTCGGCTGACAGCCACCTTCCCTGGAGGACACTGCTTTCTTCAGCATTAACAGCATGTAGCTTTTCTTTCTCCTTATTTCTGATGACCTGTTTTGAAATTTTCATGGCATTTAGGGGGAGCTTTGAATATGCTTTCAGCCTGGTCCAAACTTCTTTCTGGAAAGTGCTATCAGGAAAGACTTCAGTAACAAGTCCTTGAGCACATGCTTCTCTTGCTGTTAACTTCTTTCCAAAAATAAGCATCTCTGATGCCTTGGCTGGGCCCATTATCCTTGGGAAAGTGTAAGAGGAGCATCCCTCTGGGCTCTGCCCTAGGCAACTAAAAGGTGTATGAAATGTTGCCCTGTCAGATGCACACACAGCATCAAAGAGCCGAAGAATGGTGACAGAGATTCCCACAGCTGGACCATTCACCAATGCACCAGAGGCTTAGGAAAATCTATAAAACAGCCTACAAATTCCCTCAGCAGAGTGGCACCATTTCTGGCTTTCTCTTCTACTCCACCAGGGGGGATATCCATGAAGTTAGTCAGATCATTCCCACTACAGTAATAATCACCATTTCCTGTTAAAACAGTTATGCTTGAATCATCCTTGCTTGCAGATTTAAGTGCGAGCATGACTTCCTGATACATCTGAGTGCTGATGGCATTCTTTTTGGTGGGCCGGTTCAGCATGATCTTTGTGATGCCATCTTGAGAGGTCACCACCAGGGTTTCATATCCCGGTTGTCCCCTGTCGGCTCCAGGCTTTATTTGGCTAGAAGATTCAGAAGAAGAACTCAAGCTGGACACCATATCCACATAGTTCTGCCTGGCAGTTTCCTTGGACAGGCTGCCAAGAGAATTCCATGCATCCCACTTAGCTTTATTGATCAAGTCAAAAACACTTGGTTTGGGTGTATTACAAGGCCTTCAGTTGCCTGCTTATATAGTGCATAGAGTTTTAGCTTCGCTTCATTTCCTGGATCCTTCTTCAACAGTTTCACTCGATTCACTGAATTTTCAAAGTCCTTCTGACTGGCTCTCATTGTGCTTCCACTCACATGCAGCTGAAATACTTGGAAACTAATCACCTGCAGAGGGCTGGGGGATATCTACTGCCGTGGATGTTAGTCTGTGAAACCAGGCTGAGCATGCTCAGTCTTCACACCTGATGTTTAACCAGCCAACCAGTAGCAGAGTAAAAACAGGAAAGCATGGTAGGCTAAGTTTTTAAACACACACTTCTGACCACGCTGGAACACCAGGGTCGCCGCAGTCCTGCAGCCAACCCGGCCATGGCCACCCTGGGTGGGTTGGGCCAGTAGTCGCTTGGGCAGGGTCATTCTATAAACATTTGTTGCATGCTTCGAGCTAGATAGGCTGCTAGGTTTTTGAGAATACAGAACAAAAAGAAACCACCACTCCCCTTCAGTAGCAAAATAAAAAAATATAAAGTAATTAAAATAGTTTGTTATGGCATGAAAGTTGACAGATGAATGAGACAGAAAAATAGTTCTGAGACAGACTTCAGAAACATAAAACCTTAATATGTATGCAATACTTATAAGCCAAATTATAAACTGATATCATAATTGCAATATATCATTCATTGGTATAGTTAGGTTGAGAATACAGCATTGCTGATATTTGTTTTGACCAACAAAATGGCAACTTCATTTGAGTCAATCTAATGCAATTTGGTACAAACATCAGAGAAAGAGGGATGTGCTAATCATATAAGCTTCCCTGCTTACTTGCTCAATTTCAACAGCATCAATAATGATGTCCCGGACCCTTTCTTCTGAAGGCTTATTTACTAAGTACTGAAACATCAGGCAAGCAAAGTCACAGTGAAGACCCTAAAATAGAAGAAAGATACCAATGTCAAAGAATATTTAATCATTAAATTTCAATTTTTCAAAAAAAGGAAAAAAATGAATAACATTTAATCAGATTTTTTTATGCAGTGATGTTTCAAGCATTACATAAAGTAGGTTCTAGGAATGCAACATAGAACTTCTGGAAGATAGAAGAGGGAGTAACAGGGCCAGGAGCTTCTTTTCTTCAAACCTCATTAACATGCCCAATACAAAATGTGAAATTTTTTCAGTGCCAACAAATATTGGTTCATCAACATGAAAGAAGAATTAATTAACAACAACAAAAAATCTGCAACCAAAAGCATTTGGAAAGGAAAACAAAGAAAGAACTGAAATGCAAAGTCACTCATTTTTAATGTTTAAAAATGTTAAGAAATGATGAAAATAATAAGTATTTAAAGAACAGGTGAAACTCAGAGAGATATCAAAAAGACAACATTTTTATTAAATAAGAATGGCTCAGGATAAAAATGAATTCAGTGCAATGAAAGAAACTGAAGAATTAAACATACAATTTGAAGCTATATAAAACAGAAATAACATTGCAGATAACTTAAACAAGAAAGAAACTTGTGAAACACCTTGAGAACAGCATGGTTCTGCAAATACAATAAATAGTATAGAATCTTAAATAACTGGAGAACAAAGCAAAGAGATTCGACCTACAATAATCAGAATTCCAAAACACAGAACAGATTGTATAAAGCTGAAAACAACAGAAGAAAATTTCAAAAAAGTCAAAACAAAAAAGAGAAAGAGGCCAGATACAGAAAGACTATGGTGTTCCAAACAAAATTAACAAAGACTGACACCAAGCAGCCAATTAACATTTCTAAACTACAAACTTTTTCACCAAGGGAGAGGAGGAGGAGGGAATGTGCACTTTAAGGGATTACACATCAGAGTTTGCTTAGGTTTTTCTAAATAAGTCAACAAAAACTCAAAGACAATTGAAGTAGAAGACTAAATCAAAGGCGGTATTCCAAGGGTTATTTACATAATTAGTTGTCATTCCCAGAAGAAACCATCAGGAAAAAAACTCTCTGAACAGCTAATCTTAGAAGATTTACTGATGAAACATTTTTCCCAGGCTTGACTCAAGAGGATACTTCAAATTATCAAAGGCTGAATTTCAAATAAACTTAAGGTATTAAAAGAAAGTGTTGATTCGAACTGACAGCTAGCTGCCTATTACAGAGATGAGTAAATCAAAGGTAGGCACTTGTATTACTAAGTCAATAAGTGAACAAAATTAATTTTGGGGTTTAAAGCGGTTCCAATCAAAATCCCAATGGAATTGTTTTTAGTTAAAAAAATTTTTAAATTAATCTAAGAGACTAGAATTTAATTATTCCAACTACTGATGAGAAAGAATTATTATGTAACATGATAGAGGTGCTAATTACCCCACAATGGCAATCATATCACAATATATAAGTATATCAAATTAACAGGTACACCTTAAATTTACACAATACTTTATATCAAATATATTTCAATTGAAAGTTAACCTGGAAGAATAAGTGGGCAGATTCTTGTAAGAACACTTTTAATAGGAAAGTTAGGAGATTTATCCTACTATTTAACAAAATATAAAAAACTAAAATAATTAAAATAGTTTGTTATGCCATGAAATTTAACAGACAGGTTAATGAAACAGATTTTAGTATACTTAAAGCCTGAATAGATAATTAAAAAAAACATCACAAGTCAATGGAGAAAGATGGATTAAATTGAGAAAACTTCCCAAGAGTGTGTGTAATAAAAATAAATTAAATTCTAACTTATCCTATACTATATTTATACCAAATTCTATACTTACACTAAACAAATTCCAATGGTATTAGACAGTTACATGTTAAAAAGCCAAGAGGAAAATATGTGTGATTATTTAATTCATCTCTGGAAATCACATCAATTTCAGGTTTTTGTATATTAAAAGAACAAACAAAATTAAAAAACAAAGGACAAACTCTGGGAAAATATTTGCAATAAATATAACAAAATTCCTATTTTATATTCATGCAATAGATATAACAAATTCAATACATAAATACTTATTGAAAGAGCTCAATTAATCACTGTGCATTGGGTATACCAACAAATAGAGGCAAAAGACAAGAATAGGTAAACACAGAAAAAAATGCAAATGACTAATATCATTATAAAAAAAATGTTCAATCTAAGTAGTAAACAAATCAATTAAACCAATAATGAGAGATCATTACTCCTATCAAATCTGTCAAACATTTAATACATAAATCTGAATTCTGGTGAGGGTATGATAAAAAAACACATGTTCGTACATTGGTAGGTGGAGCTGCAAATTGCTACACCATTTCTGGGAAGAAATATGCAAAGAAAGTATGAATGACCTTTAAAATGTTCTTATCTTATAATTCAGTCATTCTACTTCTAGGGAATTTAGCTTAGAAGAATAATATGAAATTGGGACAAAGTTTATATACACAGATATTCATTTTACATTATAGCAAAACAAACAAAAAAACCTGGAAACAACTTAAATTTCTAAATACAGAATAGTCAAATTAGTGATATGTTCATTCATTAGAATATTATATATCTAACAAAACTGTTTCCCAAAAATGCTTAATATCATAGAAAAATGCTCACAATATTCTGCTAAGTGAAAAAAGAATATCTCAGCTTGTAAAGTATGAAAAAAGCAGAATATCTCAAATTATAAATATGTTTGTACATATATCTATGTGGATTTAAATGTAGAACATTCAAAAGAAATACAATTAAATACTAAAAGTGGTTATCTCTGTTTCTGAGATTGAGTGATATTTTTCTTTTAATTCTCTCAAATGACATATGACATTTATAATAAAAATTACTGGAAACTTAAAGACCCAAAACAAAAAGTAAATAAGGCATTTTCGTAGTATTTCATTGTATTTTAATAAAACCCTGTTAAGGTTATATACAGTTGAAGAAAGTGAGGCTTAGAGAAGCTAAGTAACTTGACAAGGTCACTTAGAAATAAGTTAAGGGGTCAGGATTAATGTAGTCAATAAATGTGAACAGAGTGGCTGAGACAGACTCAAACACTGAGAAAAGACAAGGTTTCTGCGCTTGAGGAGCTTAGAGCCTAGCAGAGGAGAGGCAAGAAGCACAATACATTTACTGACACTAAGTCAGGGACAGGTTGATGTTTCAAAGGGATGCCTAGAGGAAAGAATAGCCAATTTTACCTAACTGGGTCAGGAAAGTTTTGAGTTGCAATTTGTGAAAAAGTAAACAAGAGATGAAAAAAACTGGAAGGAAAGATGGAGAAGGTATGGCAGGCAGAGGGAGACAAGACTTAGTTTTTCACTGGCCGTAGCTGAAAAAGAACTGAAGCAATCTAAAATGACTCCCGTATTTCAAATTTGGATGACTGGATAGAAGGCAGCACCACTCAATGAAATAGGGAAAACAGAAGGAAGAAATGTTTTAGGAGACAGATCATGAGTTTGATTTCTGAAATACTAGGTTTGAGATATCTGTGGAGCCTTCCAGGAAAAAACATCCAACCTGCACTTGAATATATTGGTTTGGAAAGAGTATCTGAGCTAAAGGTAAAGTTTTGGTTGTTATGAGCATCTAGATGGTAGCTGGGAATAAATAAGATGAGCCAGTGAAGGAGAGAGGCCAAGGGGGAACCCAGGAATGCAATGGTATTCAAGGATGAGCAGAAGGCACTGAGAAGGAGCAGATGGAGGTAGAAAGAAAATAGTGTCTTAAAAGCCAAGGAAGAAATTATTTCCTATTTTCTTTTAGTTACCACGGTATATATGTCACCATAAAAATTTCCAGGGGAAATAAAAATGAACACCAAATATGAATACAAATACAACTAGAAGAAATACTTCATCCTTACTTCATCTCTGCTGATGAGTTCATTGGAAAAAGTGAGTCCAGGCATAAGACCTCTTTTCTTTAGCCAGAATATAGCAGCAAAAGATCCCGAGAAGAAAATTCCTTCTACAGCAGCAAACGCCACCACTCTTTCCCCTGGGAGGCATAAAATGGTTTCACTTTCTGGGATATACATTGCAGATATTTTCAAGCTTACATGTATATTTTTATAACAATGCCACAACAGTTAGACCAAGAAACAAAGTCAACAAGTTAGTGTCAAGGCAATTACAACTTTCTTAAACCAAATACAGACCTGCTTCATAGATGACATCATAGCTTGTGTCCCAGTACTTGTTGCAGGACCAAACAGAGCAGGTGGTTAATAAATGTGTCCTGAACTGAATCAATGGAAATGATATAAACACTAGATGATAAAAGATATTACAATCCATTCTATGGAAATTGCTAAAATCTGATCCAGGAACTGAATAAATATTTATAACTTCCAGAAAAAGGTAATTATAATATTTAA